GTCCCATTTTCGTTATTTTTTTCTAGATAAATATGTGGACGGAAGATAAATTAAACATATTACGTGTAATCTTCAAGTGTTTCATGATAGAGAAAACTATCAAAGTCGAGCGATTGAACATTTGTTTGTGCACGCCGACTGAGGTTCTAGAATGCTGCGAAGCTGTTCGATTTTAACAGAAAAAGAAAGCCAGCAGTCTCTTCGTCGCATCGATTTGGTCGATTGAAGCTGATATTGTGACGCCCTGGCTGTAAGATATCACTTGGCGCATCATGCATGATGGTTTCCGGCTTTTGCTGCTTTTGCATTGATGTTCCAGGACCCAGGGTGAACTGTTGCTCGACTGATGCATATCTTGAATCGACGATCATCTGGAACATAATTGATATTTGAATATTGATTACGCATTGTTACCGTCAATATATCATACATTACCATTCATATCCGACTCTTCAAATCCGCGAAATGTCTTTTCGCGCCACACATAAAATAAGTTCGTATCACTTATGGGTCCAGACCAAACAGCATTTGAATAATTATCTTCAAATCTTTTCAATTGTGCAACCTTAAGGTAGGATTCTAATCCATGCAATGTAGTGTTGGCTTCGTCGGCTTTAATATTTCGATTTGAATGGTTGCCGGTTCCATTGAACTGCTTCCCATTACCGCTGAGGTTGATTTCTCCTGATTCTCTTTTGTTAACAGCATAGCATAGTTTACTGCATTAGGATTCCACGGATAAAGACACACTTCCGGAATCCGTTGGTCAACGTTGTACATGTATTGACCATATCATAGTGGTGAAAATTCATGCCTTTTCGAAAACTCAATAAGACGCTTATTCCATTTTACTTTCAGTCCTCTGAAAAATGTGACGTCAAGAGGCTGCAGAACGTGCGTTGAGTTTGGGTATAGACATATTAATACGATTTAATTTTCCCGGCAAAACTCCGTGGTCTGGAGAGAAAAGTGACACTTATGACCGTCTACGAAAACTATAACGGGTAACGTAACCTTTGATCGTAGTAGTCATGGGTGAAAAACATTTTTTAGGTACTCAAAAAATGTCTCCTGTGTCATCCACCCGGAGGCATTCTTCCCAATGGACCAACCATCCGGAGCGCTGTGGGCGGATTTCTGCTGGAAGACGTTGTTTGTACGGAAATAAGATCATCGGTGGAGCAAGTACACCTACCGCGCTAGCAGAAAATAGAACTGTGTATAACTCTTTTTTCCGAATTAGCATTCGAAGTGTGCACATACTTTTCGCCGGTTTCGGCAAAAACAGATTCTTTTGTGGGCACAAGTCGAATTGATGTTTCATCCATATAGAAAATTCGAGTCGGATGCTTCATGGCATCTTTTAAGCTAGCTTGTTCAATATGCCGGTCGACTTCTTCAGACCAGCTCCTAATTTTACCCTCAGTGACATACGTCCGTTGTTTCGAAAGAGCACTTGGGATTCTTCAGGAAATGTTGGGATGTCGTTTCAAAAATAGTGTTAACCATGTTCGACCAGGAGCATGCGTTTTATGGAAACTTGATTTTCCTGTGGATTTAAGGTAATATGCGACCGACGTTTTCAGACGTTGGGAGTCCACTGAGAAGCCAGCCCTAGCCATCTCGACTATCCACTGGATGATGCGGTCCTCCTTTTGCTTATTTAAAGCAGTTGGGCTTCCTGGACGCATTACTTCCGAATGCTCTCCGGGATTCCATGGACTTTTGCGACTCTACGAACCAAAGATCCTCTTCTGACCATATCCATGGCCAGAACCATATGATTTTGGTTGTACTGCACATCCTTTCGGCCACGATTGATCTTGGAACACTCTGCGCATGATTAGGAACATAAATAAAAACAATGGTGCCTAATTCTGCGCAATGGTAAATCGTAATTTTGCACAAAAAATATGTATGTAACCGCTAGTTTTTGAGTAGGATACGATTGATGCAAATATATCTTACCAACTGCGGTAAATATTCCAATTCTTTTACTGGGTTTCAGTTCGATATTTAGGCTGTGAACCATTTGCCGAGTTAAATTTAACTCGTGGTTAAAAGTGACATTTCGAAAGTTATTTTCTATGTTCGAAAATTCCTGTCTGTCAGAAGTAACCACGCTCGGATAGCAGGGTTAATCGATAACTTTCCATCTGTCAAATTTTAACCAAAAGTTAAAATAATCCACCAAATGGTTAAGAGCCTTAAAAGAACACTTCGAACGCGGTGCAAACGTTCAAGCTAACGGAGCCGATTTTTTGACGTTTTCAGGCTGTGTTGCATTTGGTGAATTCGGTGAATTATCACTTAAATTTGACATTTCGAAAATAAATTATAATGTTCGAAAATCCCTCTGTTGTTGATCGTCTGATTTTTTAGATGGTGTCTGTCAAAATTTATTCCTGGTCTGTCAGAAATAAGTCTGGTGGAATAGCAGGTTAATTTGAAAATTTTCCATCTGTCAAATTTAAGTGAAAATTCACCAAACGGAACACAGCCTCAGTGATTGTGTTTTATTTTATTTTCACTTAATTTCTGTAAAATGCAAATATTATTGTGAATTCAGATATGTTATTCAACAGTGATTCAGAGAAAAATAAAATTGTGGTTATAACATTGAGTAATGTTCGTAAAATGTAGAACGAATGCTTGAAATGCGCACAATTAGGGGCGGTCACGATAGAAGTATTCAGAAAAAAAACATCATCTTATCTTAAAGCTGGGTTTAGACAAGGGAAGTCAATTGATAAACTCAGTTGAAACCATGCCATGCCATTCAACGAATTGAAAAAAAAAAGTTGAACCAGGCTCAACTCTTCAAGCCAATTTAATTAATCATGTTTTGTTGTTTTTGACATCATCCACATCCAGAGGGCCAGTCACTTCGAATGTATGGGAATGGTAGGAAACCATTTGGAAATACATGAAAATTTTCAGTTTTTATTCATTATCGTCTTTATGGGCAGTTTTTGGTGCACAAAAATTGCACGAGTACATTACTATGGTGATAAGGTAAACACTCGTTTATTTGGTTCCTTCTGTGAAAGCATGTTTAGTCACAAATCGTGGATTTTCTGATATTCTCCATACTGCAAAAATGATTTTCCTACCACTGAAGGGGCGACATCTCTCGGATCTTCAGTATAGCTTCTACTCAAATCATATAATTAATTCAACTGATTTGATCAATAACTTGCCTTGTCGAAACCCAGCATAACTCTTTACTCAAAGGCGCTCCAATGCGCTCAAGGGATTGATTTTTGTTGGATCGAGCGGACGTACCAATCTACTCGAAGGTTGAATATCTTGATAATTAGCTGGTCAAAAACCATTTTTTTTAGTATTTGGTCAAAAAATTTTTGGTTTATTATTTGCCAAATATCATACACATAATGAGCCTAGAGGTTCTAGCAGGCGTAAAGCCCCTGCAGAACAATTTCTGGGAGCTCTCAATAAAAATATTAAGGGATCGTTTTTGCTTACTGAGTAGAAAATCATGGGTTCAATCCCAAGCTCTCCGTCATGACTCTTAAAATTCATGATCACTAAACAAAATGAATATGTTCTTTAGATAGCCGGCTATCGAGAGATTAAATAAACAACAAATTAACAATACATACTTTTGGTTGCATCGCCAACTTGAGGTGAATCCTAACCGAATACCCTCCAACTCCGTAGCACTTATGAGGGTGTCGCTAAGTCGGTGGCCTCTCGTTAAGTAAGTGCAACATCAACATTTCCTTCCCTATCCCTAGTTATGGTAAAGATGGGCGTGGCCGGGAATAGCGACAGTCATGCTTCTGTTAGTCTGTATGAGTCCCTTAACATTGTTCAATCCCAGGCAATGAGAAGGCAGACTCTCTCGCAAAGAATTTCACATGATGATTTTTTTCCCATTAGTACGTCAGAGTTCTCTTCTAAGTTGGCAAAACGATTGAACAAGTGGTTACATTCCATTACTCTAATTTTTTCTTCGAGAGCGTGGTTCAAAGGTCTGGATGTAAGTCGGGACGCGTGATGTCAAGACTTATGTCCAACCACTACTCACTAGACGTACATCTCTACAGGATAAACTTCGTTGCCAGCAATATATGTAGGTGTAGAACCGGTTATGATGACATCCGTCACGCAGTTTGGTATTGCCCGGGTACTGACGCCTCCAGAGCACGACTGTTGGATACCCTAGTGGCCCGCGGTAGACAGCCCTTCCGTGAAGTAAGAGATGTATTGGGAACCCGTGATCATCCCTACATGCAGGCGATCTACGAATTCCTTTGTTTGTCTGATGTTAGAGTTTGATGTGACCATCCCCTCCTTTCCAAACATTTTCCAACCATTGTGTCCCAGCCTGATTATCCTCCTGTTTCTGTGCTACTTGCCCCTGCCCAGCCAGCATTTGGTCAACCGTTCGAAAGTAGTATCTGAAGGAGGCTTCAGAAACCTGTTTCCTACCTAGATCCTTCCTATCGAAATTGTTACCCCTCGAGTCCGCCACGAGTAATTGGTACCTAATACTAACCTAGATTTACTGCTGTTTAAAATGTTAAATAAAAAATTATGGATTTTTGCCTCCGCAAAGTGTCACACACGACTGAGCCTAGTAAATAACAGTGTAATATCAGCTTAAGTATCAAACCAGTGCGAATCGCCATTCGGAATGGGGAAGAGATATCCTTACAGGACACACCGAAAATAGAAAGTGCTGAGGGATTATTTCTTTTAATTTCCTAAGTACCTCCCTTTGATTTATCATATAATTTACATTCGGAATCGATTTCGGTAAGAATAGTTTTTTTTAACATGATTCTCATTGTATACAATCGACTGACGATGTAGATCTTTGCTAACAAAGATTCAGCGTTGACAGGTCAAAAATTACCAAACAAAGGACCAACAAAATAAAGAAAGAACACATCAAACGTAATATAAACCAAACCATAAGGAATTTCTCAACTAAGCAATGCAACGAAACCAACCCAAAGAAAACAGTCAGCACCTGAAAGATTTCGAACAAGAAAAAACTGTTCACAATGAATATAAATAGGCACTTGTTATTACAACACATGTTTTTATCCATTTTCTTCCATTTGTGTATGCTTCCACAATGATTGTAGTTATTTCGTTTCTACCATTTGCTTTAAAAATAGCTGCGCTCCGAATAAGTTTTCCCTACATGGTTACTGTCCTGCTCTACGTAAAAAAAAAACAACACTAGAAATGTATGTAAATTGCCATTTGTTTCAGTAAAAGTTAAGCGCGGTAGTTACAACAAGAAAAGGGCAAAAGGCCTAGTTCGGGTGAGAAATATACTATAACCTACATCAATCAACTTTGTCTGTATCATTATCAATTATATAGTTTCGTAAACTACCTATCATCAGTTGAATTAGTTAAATCGATTCATTTTATCATTGTAAACATTACGTTAGAAAAACTAAAAATCATTGCTACCGTTGCACGTTAGGAATACTTAAAATATTGCACCTACGCGAAAACCGAACTAGTGTAGAGTAGAATTGCTTCTGAAACAGTTCTAGCAGTGCGTGATAATATAAACCGTTGCGACACTGATTCTCTCTAATCGCTTCCGTTATTAGTTATAGGCATAGTAACGATCTCTTTTACGTCATTTTTCCTTATTATAAAATTTTCATTCAACATCGATAAAAATAGACAAATTCCTCTAAAAACACGCCGCTTTGCTGCGCGTCAAACAGCTTTCCGGTAAAATTTATTCACGATTCAACGATGGTGGCTGTCCCTTCCCGCTTTCTATATTAAATATTTTACTTTCAAACTTTTTTTTTTGGCAACGTTTCCCTAACAATTTGTTTTCCCCCGGTTAAATACTTTTTGTTTTTCCCTCGAAAATTTTCAATCCAAACATTCGCGTTTTCGCGACTGTTTTAAACTTGACTGTTGTCAAAATTTGTTAGTTTTTTTTTTCGTTCACAACTACAGGTAGTTTTTTTTAAAGAATCATTAGTACACTTGATTTGCGAAGTTCCATCGAAACGAGACGGATGTTGAAAGTTAATAATTAATAAATACACAAATTGTAAAGAATATAAAACCGCTGTGATAACATCCTTACTAACTACGGTCACTACTAAACATTCGCGAGTTTCGCGAATACAACAAAATCCTTATCGTTGTTGTGAAAGTGTTAATGTGTGTGTGTGTTCAAAAAGGTGAATTTACCCTCCTGCCTGGTGTAGGTAAAGAAGGCAGCGCTTTGTGCATTCCCCGTTTGAAGGATTTACTTAGTACTGATACCAAGGCTGCCGGCGCACCCAACGCAACCGGTGGTTGGTCTGATCCGAGCGGATCTTGATGCTGGCTCCCTCGGCGGCGCGGACAGTTTCCTTGACCTAAAAAAAAAATTATTAAAAATCCATTAACCGTCGAAATTCCGAATTCCGGTAATACTAACACTCTGCATCAAGTTCTGCGCATTGCCGACCAACATGTCCGTCGCTTCCCGATCCTCGTCCGAGCCCTGCGCACCCAGCATCGTGGCCTTGACCGTCGACAGAATCTTCAGCTGCGTTCCGATCGTCGGTATCCGCTCGCAGACCTGCAGCAAATTGGTCCGAATCCTCTTGTCGGTGCACTGCCGGGCCAAAATCTTCGCCAACCGGGTCACCTCCTCCGAGGCTTCGGCAATCTTCTTCGCCGTGGCAATCAGCTCCCTCTTGTTGCCCTTCGAATCAGCCCGGACCAGCTCCGAGAGACGTGCCATGAGTACGGCCATCCGCTTCGCAGCGGCGATAATTTCGTTGTCCTTAGACGACCACTGGCGCACTTCCTGGTGCAGACCATGGGCGGCCATGAGAATGGGCTGGTTGGCATTGGGCATTCCCTGGAACAGCTCATCCTCGTCGTCGGTCTCCGGCGGTGGGGGACGCACCGGAGGAATGTTTTCCCGTGGCAGTGGTGGACGCGGAGGAGCAGCCTCATGATGCGGTTGCTGGTGCTGTTGCTGCTGATGCTGCAGATGCAAAGCAGACAGATCCGGCATTTCCGGCACCTCAGGAACATTGTTGATGGCACTGCGAATGTTGCGCACGTTTTGAAGAAGCTGAAATAGGTTGCGACAAATATTAGATTGGATTTGAGCTATTGAATTATATACGTACATGCTTATTAGCTTCCCTCCAGTTGGAAGCATGAATCGGATCGGTAATGTTGGTTGAGACATTCTTAGCTTCCTGCACCATGGGCGAAATGGAAGCCTGCAGCCGATCGGACGCGTCGTTGACATTTGCGATGAATTCCGGATCCTCGGAGTTGTCGCCTTCCTGTTTTGCAACCAGAAGCACTCGATTGGCAAGACGAGCCTCGCTAGACGTGTTGTCCACCATCTTCTGTGGCTGCCGCATGCGGATGGCTTCATCGCAGAGAATCGAATGCTTCTGCATTTGCCGTTCGGAAGCCGCGATAAAGTCCAACGGATCCGTTGCCTGGTCACAGAGGGTTCGCATCCGAAGGATCGTATCCGCGTACTGTTGTTTGAGATTGTTGAGATGCTCTTCGGCTGCCTTGCTGGTTGGGTAGTTCATACGGATGCGCCCAGCAGACACCAACTGTGGAGTCATGCTGTCGACCTGCGAAGCAGACGACAGAAGGACTTCGGCGAGTTTTTTGTTTCCACCGGAACCACCGGCGGCGACCATTCGGCTTGTTTTGGAAGCACGATCGCTGAAATTTTGCAACTTATTGGATTTCTGGTTGAAGTTCTGTTCCCGGCCAGGAGTTCCTTCCGGAAGAGCAACCGCCTCCATGAACTGCTTCAACGGGGAAGAAATATCGATAAAGTCTTCCACTACGCGGTTTACAACGGCGTCCTGAATCTGCTTCTTCAAACCATGCAATTTCTCGTTCAAACGACGAGATACCTCCTGAGCTTGAGCCGTGTGACCCAAGCCATTAGAACACATCTGCCCGAAGTCATGCGACAACTGCTCGACTTCATCACAGAGCTGCATAACTTCGGCCTTCTGATGACCACCAAGACCTTCAGCGACTTTGCGACCCTCGTCAACGATCAATGCAACTGCCCGTTGTCCGAGCCCACGATCATCCTGACCGGGGTTTTGCAACCAACGGCAAGCCTGTTCCAGACGACCCTGAACAGTATGGGCCGTCTGCTGGAGCCCTGCCTTGTCGACTCCCATGATCGCGTTCAACACAGACTGCTCCATATTCCCAAGCTTATCACGGATATCCCGTGCAATCGCATCCGCATGGGGAGTAGTTCCCTTTCCGTCCTGTCGAAGATCGCACAGCGTATTGGCCATTGCTGTAATATCTCCAGCCAATTTTCGGATAATATGCGAATCCTGCGGTAGACAGCGATCTGCAACCTTCAACCCGTTATCCACAATCTGCCGCAAAGCCTTCTCCCCTACTCCACCCCGAAGCGCATATGGATTCTTCAACCAATCATTAGCTGCTTCCATCTTATTGTTCATTGCATTGTGAATCTTCTTCAGCACCGTCAGATTGTCCAACTCGCTCTGATCCTCATCGTAGGTCGTCAATTGCAACACCCGAATAATCTCCTGGATCTCTTCGCTCATCCTCGAAGCCAAATAGTTCCTATTCTCCGCCGCCTCATCCGAGCCCTTTCCATTCTGCTCGGCGATCAGTATGAACACTTTCATGCTGCAAATCAAAATCGGCGCCAAAATCTTCACCTGCTCCAAACATCGCACCAGAATCTCACTGTGCACCTGGTGAGTCAATTCCTTTTCCCTAGCTCCGACCTCCCTCGAAACCTTACTCAAGCACGGACTCAAATCCTTCAAAAACTGTACCAAATCCTCCATGGTATCGATGACCTCGGAAACGGCCAAATAATCCAGCACCCTCTTGCACTCCCTGATGATCTTCCGCACTTCCGACTCGTCGAAGCACAGCAACAGCGACGAAGTTCCCTGCAAAATACCCCTCGATCCCTCGATCAGCTTCTTGCGCGCTGGTCCGGAAAACGGGTCCACTTTGAGCATGCCGGACGCTTCTTCCAGCAGCTCTGCCGCATTCTCCACCCGTGCCAGCGCCGAGGGCATGTCCTGTTTGAGGATGTCGTCGTCGGAGTTGTGTATCGTTTCCCGTCCGACTCTGACCAGGTTGGTGACCGCCAGCGATACGGCCTGCACCGGGCGGCTGAGATCGGGCATCGCGTTGCCATCTTCGGCTTCCTCGTGCAGTATCACCAGCCGGGAGACCTGTTGGAAAAATAGAGGGAGAACAGAAATTGGAGATCAATATTGCCGAAAGATGGGCGGTGGGGAAATATCGGAGGTCTTCTTAGAGGAAGGTTCGATGATTTTTTGCAGGAAATTAGAAAAAAATATAGGGGTAGGTCAGATCTTAAACCAAAACTTCAGGACTTCTAGGAAAAGTCGATTGTGCCACGTTTGGCCCAAAAGACGATTGGCAAATGCACGTTTGGATTCTTATAGTACTCTACTTGGAAGTCGATTTGGAGATCTCGAGATTTGGAGATGGTGCCTAAACGCAAACGAAAAGGGCAATCGCTTGATCCCCCTTCCGATAAAATTTATTTGAGCAACCAATTTGATATGCTCACGGATTATGAGAATGACCAATCAGCCAGGCGAAATTCCATTAAACATTCTCGGCTTAATGCCAAGAAGGAAAAGGTCCCCCCAATTATGATAACCACTTCCGATTTTCGATGTTGGTGCAAGCAGCTAAAATTCTTCATGTATACCTGCTGCTAACAATTTTCAACAAGTAAAAGGAGCTACCTATGCTGCTATTTCAACTGGTAGAAATCGAAATCAAAATTCTAACAAACATAATTCTAACCGAAATTTGGATGATTTTGACTTAGGTAGCATTAGTAAAGGATGTCCACGATGAAATTGCCACACACAAAATTGATTCGCAAAATTCGAGTTTTCATCCGATTGCCATCAAATTTTCAGGGATTGAGAAATAACTATTAAACTTCATTTTACCATTTTACTCGTATTTTATTTACAGTCCATACGCAAATGCCCGCACCCTTGGTCTTAACCCCGGCCATAAGATTCTGCACAACCTGTGAATCAACCGTTTTTTGCATGTAAACCCATACTTTCTTCAGTTCCTCGACTGTCTTCACTACCTTAGGTCGTTTAAGAAGGTGCTGCTTCATAATCGCCCAGTACTTCTCGATGGGGCGGAGCTCCGGAGTGTTGGGAGGGTTGAACATTTTCGGCACGAAATTGACCTTATTGTCCGCATGCCACTTCAGCACGTCCTTGGAGTAGTGGCATGAGGCCAAATCCGGCCAGAAGATTGTTGGGACGTTGTGGGCCTTCAGGAGAGGAAGCAGCCGCTTCTGGAGGCACTCTTTTATGTACACCTGTCCGTTCATCGTGTCCTGGGTCACGAAAGGTGCACTCGGCTTCCCGCACGTGCAGATGGCTTGCCAAACCAGGAATTTCTTCGCAAATTTGGACATCTTCTGAATGCGGACATGCTCCGGAACGCTGAACTTATCCTTGGCCGTGAAAAACAGGTTGCCGGGGATCTGTTTGAAGTCGGCCTTCACATATGTTTCGTCGTCCATGATGCAGCATTCAACTTTCGTCAGCATGTTGAGGTACAACTTCCTGGCACGAGTTTTGGTGGACTTGTTCTGCTTCTCGTCGCGATTAGGGGCCTTTTGTACCTTGAACGTTCGAAGCCCAGCCTTAGTTTTGGCCTTCTGGACAAAACTTCGGCTTAGGTGCAGCTTCTTAGCCACATCCCTAACGGAGGCGTTCGGATTTCGGTTGAAGGCCCCAACTACGCGGTTGTGATTTTTGGTGTTGTACGGAATACTTTTTCCTTCACTTCTGGGCTTCCGATCGGTGGTCAACCGTTCCTCGAACCGCTTAATCACTCGCGACACCGTGGAATTCGCGATTCCCAACGTTTTAGCGATGGAACGATGCGAGAGATCCTTGTTCTCGTGATGAATGCGCAAGATTTTATCACGCACGAGCTGTTCTTTCGACTCTATTTCCGCGAGTTTTGATCACAGGACTTTAAAACTTGCAGGATGTAAATTATGCACTATGAACTAAATCCACCCAAATTTTCATTAAATTCTACCCAACGGTTAAAAAGTTAGAGCAATTTCATAGTGTGGCAATTTCATCGTGGACACCCTTCAACTTACTTTTGGGTAGAAAGCGAGTGGAATAAAGTAAATGAAAACTACTTTAACCCGCTTTACCTACTTTTGGGTTCCTGCACTAAAGTGCCGAGATGAGTGAAAAGAACTTACTTTTGGGTTCTTTTTTCTTACCGTGCACGTTCAAAGCGTACCAGACTGCTGTTTCCGTGTTGCTTCCGTTTGACGCGTGACTGTTGAAAGTTTCAATTACAACTAGTGGTGCAAACCGCTATGTATTATGGAAAATTTGTTGTATGTAAGAGCTGATAGAAGGTCTGCTTAGCTTACATCATGCATTTGACCATTCACTAACTTGCCACCCGCAACACAAATAAGCTCGCTTTTAGGTGCACTATTTAACAAGTTTTGTCATGGTAGTGATATCGACATGCTTAGAAATCAATGCATTAGGGATTAGGCAGACCATCCCAACTGAATTTAATCCTTTTTGAAGCAAACCAAGTTGGAAGATTTAATTGAGCCACACTATAAAATAGTGTATTCATGATCACTTGTGGTCTGGAGTAAAGAAGTACAGCTACAATGTGACCATAAAATCTATACAAATCTAAACGCATTTTTTCAAATTATTTACACCTGTGTCGTGCACAGGTTGCACATGTGGACGCGACGCTACTGGATTCTTATAGTAATCTACTTGGAAGTCGATTTGGAGATACCATGGTGCCTTAACGCAAACGAAAAGGGCAATCGCTTGATCCCCCTTTCCGATAAAATTCATTTGAGCAATCGATTTGATATGCACACGGATTATGAGAATGATCCATCAGCCAGGCAAAATTCCATTAAACATTCCAGGCTTAATGCCAAGAAGGAAAAAGTCCCCCTATTATGATTACCATTTCCGATTTCCACACTTTTCACACGGAACTTGTAAACTTCGGTTAATTCCAGTTTTTACTTCAAATTGGCCGTCGGGGTGATTGGCTCAAACCTTGGACGGATTCAAATATCTTCTCCAGTATCTTACTGAGAAACAGCACAAATTTTTCACTTACGAAACCAAAACTGAAACGTCTGTTCAAGGTTGTCTTGGTGTGGTAAATCCTGGATCAGATCAAAGATGAATTGAGAAAATTATTTGGAGCCATGCCATTTCAAGTTATCAAAATGAAAATGAAATCCCGACCTGGCGATTCGCGCAACGAGATTTCTAATGATTTGTATTTAGTTCACTACAAATCTAAACAACCTTAAGGCCTTAGAAAAAGCTAGCCTTATGCTCCATGTCCGAGTGAAGTAGGAAATTTCCAAAACCTCACCCAGTGCCGTAAGTGTCAGGGATGGGGCCACGGAGCAAAAATTGCTACATGACAGCGAAATGCATGCATGGTGGCGATTCCTCTCACGCAAAGGATGCCTGTCCTGTGAAAGAAAGATCATAAAAAAATTTAAATGTTCAAATTGTGATAAAAACCACAAGTCCAATTTTTGGAAATGTAAGACTCGCAAAGCATCCTACAATCTCGTTCTAAGCGATAAGTAGGAAACGCTCCACGTTTCCGATCAGGTACTAATTTCTCTGCTGTTAACAACACCTGCTGCTAACATTTTTCAACAAGTAAATGGAGCTACCTATGCAAACGTTTGGGGTTTTTTGCATTAAATTGCTTAAATCTTCCTCTACATTTGAGATTTTTTTTCATTGGTGTGTGACCTCTGTGGCTCCTTGGGGTCACATCGGAAGGAGGTCGCCCCCGGTGGGGATTGGTAATTGGCGGGCGTTCTAGAGACCTGAAAAATGGACAAAACTTACTTATATCAATTGGACCTTATTCAGAAAAGATTTTTGTTCTATGTGAACCTTTAAAACCCAAAAAAAAACAATTTAAAAATTTAGAAAAAAATATCTGAATTTTTTTTTTCCCAGTTTTTTTTTTTTCATTTTAGGCAGACCTGAAAATTATTTTCACATAGAGTGAAAATCTATTTCCTTTAAGATGCGCCAGGTTTTCAGTCATTTGGATGAGAACTTTTTGAGTTATCTTTCCCGCCAATTTGGAAAACACCGTTTCGAGAAAAACGCGTTTGGGTTGTGTAAAAACATGATTTCTGGAACTTACGGTTAATCGGCGATACCGGGACCATAGATCACTCCTTCCTCGTGCTCGTAGCAGTTTTTAAAAATGTTTAAAGTAAAATATAAAAAAAATCAATAAAAAAAATTTACTTGTGTTTCCCCTCTTAAGGATTGCCAAAATGTTGCGGAATGCTCACCGAACCGACGGGGAAAAAGTGCTGCCGAATGCTTTCGTTCTAGCTGTTGATCTTCAAAAGGTATTTCATTATATCGTGAAAATTTATCTTATCAAATATGCTTCAATCAGTTAGGTTATTCAGCTTCCCAGACTTGAAAGCCTGAAAAACAATCATCTTTTCGCGACGACTGCTGGCATTTAATCAGACCTTTGCTCCCGTTGCAGGGCTGGTAGTGGGTATGTGATTTAATAGTAGTGACTTTAGTGACTAAAATAACGAAAATAGTGACCAAATAGTGACTATTAAACAATAAAAAAAGTGACCAATTATTGATCAGAGAGATATGGTTTCAATCTTCCGTTGATTGCGATTGCCACTTCGAGAAAATTTATAAACTCACAAACCCATCATGCGCATTTTTCATGTTTCTAAAAAATAAAACAAACGGTTTAAGGATCCCATAATTTTTTCCCTAAAAACAATAAGCATAAATTGAATAAGCAATTTTTATAAACAAACTTTTTACTAAGTTGATATTAGATCCAAATCACACATTGGTGAGAAAAATGTTCAAATTCAAAGATTTAGATAAATATGGACAATTTTAGGACAGTCAATTTTAAATATCTAGGATATAGATGAATTGATGCGATTAGCGATTAGTATCTTAATAAAAAAATCCTTCTCTTCTTTGTAGCCACTATAGCGCACTGGTCGTCTCCATTCCTTCCAAGAAGAGAATCTTATGTAACACACACATAGCAACAAATTCATAACTGTGGGACCTAGACAACTTTTGTAGATCGCAGTTTAAAAAAACATCTCAGTATTATG